GCCTCCGGTTTGGAGGGAGCAATCTGGAAGGGGTCAAATTTCTTTACTTGATGCCCTGGGTCTGAAGGGAGCAACTGGGAGGGGGGCCAAATTTCTCTACTTGATGCCCTGGGTTTGGAGGGAGTTTGTGCAATATCATATTGACACTAGGTCGCTGCGTCGCTGCCCTCGTTCGATATCATATATTACCCTTCGTCAATATCATATTGTCCCTCGGAATAAAACTCATATTCATTCCCTCCAAGTAAATAACCTATATGTATTGTAGATGTCAGTATACAGTATTTTATCGGAGATTGGCAAAATTGTTCTTAAGTGATTTGTTGATTTTTTGATATCGATTCAAATTAGGCTAGTCATCAACAGATTTTAAAGTCGGATAATACTGTTCGTAACTCGACTTTGAAGAAAGAATGGTGCACTTATGTCCATTCACTATCGATATATCGAGGGAAAAAATCTAAGAAACCCTTAGGTCAAAATTCCCCGGGAAAATTCCTACCCCGTAGATGATCTCGGATTGACTCAACGATAACTTACTGGAAGTATTCCTTGGATATTTGTCGTTCATATCTTATTTTTGCTTGATTATAGATGAAACTTATCCATAACCATCGATTAATCTAGATAAGTTGCGATTTTAATAAAAAACTCAATGTGTATTCTGGAGTCAAACATCGACTTGGTGCATAGTCGACGCAGCAGAAAGACGTTAAATTTAGCACGGAGATTTCTTCCCTAACTTTAGTAAAATATTTCAATTAATGATCGAACTTCTGCCAATATTAATGGATAAGGCTACTCATCGAAAAATTGTTGAGATGTACACTGTTCGTATCTTAAATCTGATTAAGGAACGATGCAAATATATATCCATTATCTATCGAGAAATCGAGTAGAAAAATCAAGGAAAACTTCACTTTAAAAGTTCGACACTAAACAGTACACTCTCACGAATGGTATTCTCCATACAAGGGAAAAGGCGGGGTTACTGTCTGGGAATTGGCACTCTCCATAAATGGCGAAAAGGCGTAGTTTAAATGGTCAAAATATTTGCATGATACTCCGAGAAAATCACGTTGCTTGATTTTGCTCTGTTTCTCCGGGCAACTCGCTTGACTTCGCCACCTTAACCAATCAGAAGTTTTAGCGGACAAATCTTTGCACGATGCAACGTTCTTTATTTGCTTTGTTTTCATACGCATAAACAGTCTTTGGTTTAATCGCCTTGTGCTTAAGTCCACCCTGCGATGCTTTGCTTGTATCATCTTTATATACCAAATATCGTATACCGTCGTCTGAACCGGTAGTTATTTGCGAATTCTTTCCGAATCGAAGGTTACGATGCTCCATGCCGGCTCTCAGTGCGAAATGCAGCCCGATCATATACAGCATCGTATCAACTAACTTGCGAGGACTTTCATGCCCTAAAACACCCTTGCTCCATAGCTGTTCTTCTTCCTCGTCAGCCTGCTTACGAGGGGCACGCTGACCTGGAAATAATCATCATGATGAAGGACAGCAACAACATGGAAAACAAATCAAAACCAAATTGTTAGAACTAGCCTAGTTTAAAAGTCACGATAACAGATTCAAAAACATATTTGAGTTAAATATGACATCGGATGAAACAATGCACGGCCGTGCAATCATCCGAAATAAAAACATGCCTTTGCTGCAATCTAACTGGCTTAGAAATTCTGATAATGCAAGACCAAGAATTTTTTTATAAAAACTACACAGTTCAACGTGCAAATTTTGGATCTTTTCATCAGAAAACAATTGATCTAATTGCTTTGACAATGTATTTTCTTTGCTTTGGACAGAAAACACTCCATTTTAGTTGTTTACTTACCGATTTTACTGAGCTCTTTCATTCTCCTGTCCAGTGTATTCTTGGTCTTGTAGAATTCAGGGTCAGATAGAAGTATGTGGTCACTATCTGCGCCGTACGTAGACAAACCAAGCTGAAGTGACACTATAAGTACGTACAGAGTTTCGCTCGGATAGTCTGTACCATCCCTTTTCTTTACCTCAAGGATAAATCTACATAACGAAATCCAGCTCCCGTTTTGTCATTTCCGCAATATTCTTTACAGGCATCTCTTTATATTCAATAGCGCTTTTTTGTACGGTCATCCTTCTTTCTCTCTGCCACTCATCAAATGTGCGCATTGCCCAGTTGATTTTATTTTCAGTTGACCTTGCATAGCTAAAACAAAGAATACATATTAAGCAGAAGAAATCCATCTGGCAATTTTACTTTCAGAATGTGCACTCTTGATTCTTCGAGCTACAGTCAAAGAAAACAGTTATATTCATACCTGTTTCTGCTTTTCTTGTCAATATCCATATCAGATACAGGTTTTCCAAATCTAGAGTCCATTTCACTGCTTCATTTCGTCAGTAGAACGGCAAAAATAAGAAATTGGGAGACCATTGTACAATAATATATGGAAAAGTATATTCATAATGTCACACTACCCTACCACGTGACCACGTTTAAAAGGGGAACAGGGTACAGCTTAGTTGCAAATGGAGGACGTGGGTTTAATTCCATATTTCTGAACGTAAAATACAGTTTACATTTATTTCTAGTGTTCTACCAGACATAGAATTGATTCATCAAGCAGTGTGTAGAATATTGTTGGCAAAAAACCACTATAGGCAAAGATAGATAATAGTGGGCGCAGTGAAGCAAAACACGAATGCAATATACGATACATTTCAGTAAATCTATCAACGTACAGGGAGCATGTAAGTTTCCCTTCGAAAATGTTACATTGATATGTAACAAAAAAAAACAGTTAACTGTTATTTAAACTGCGTGTCATCGTGTTATAGGTGGATACGTTTTCTAGTATGTTAGTCAACTGTATTTTTGTGAATTTGAATAAAACATTTTGAATGATCGGTTTTTGAGGACGGTAGTGAATTAGACCATTCAAGGGGTTCTATAGAAAGATTCTTCACATGTAGTTCAGGCAATTTTAATTATTATGAGTAACAGATAGTCATTAATACTGAGAGCGGATAGTCATTTATCATTAACGTGTTAATATTTAATTTCGTTATTTTATTTCAATTTGATACCTTAGTAACACGTATAATCTAGCGTTCTTGTTAATTTAATGACTAAAATGCATACGACCTGAAAGCCCGTGTCTAAATCTACAAAATAATGTTTATTTATTTGGATTAAATAACAATTGATGACACCTCAAAGCATCAACAGGCGGCCTTTTTAGCATTACTTTCACTGTTTGCAACGTAAATGTACATGAGGTCGGGACATAGTATGTCTGTATAATCACCTTACTTTCTCGCTCCCTGTACTATTGAACAATTTACATTCCTTGTACCCTGTATTGATCAACTTTTGCAACTGTGTACCGTGTACTATGACATATCAAATATTTTAAAATCTAAAACGATATCATTTACATTCTTCAACTATCATATAACTTGGAACATGGACTTCACTATTGCACCACTGAAGTGTAGCGAATAGCAATAGTGGAGAGGTTAAGCTTTGCATATATAATCGAAACTGAACCTGTACGTATCACTCGACCATATACAAATTCATGTAGCCTTCTCATATAAATAGCCGTTCAAATCCAGTGTTTGTTTAGACTACACCATAGCGTGTAATGATTCTATAGTATGTCATTGATGCGGTTTTATAGCTGGTTTTCTAATACATATTTTAAACGAGCTCGTTTCGTAAGATTTTTGGCGCTAAATCATGCATGACATACATCATCGTGTTCAGCAAGAATTCAACTGTACATCGAAATCAAAATTGACAGCATAGTGTTCAATAGACACGAGTAAAATGGTTCCCGTTGACCCAACGTCAAATATTCAAATCTCCCGTTCTAAACCCGAAACTCTGAAGCTGAAAGAGTATCTGAAGTAGACTAAGCGCGCATTAAACTATGAGCGCTCGATACATTCCTTTGTTAATTTTTGTACTTTGCGTTCACGGTTACGTTGTGAAAAACATCGTTAGCTTAACCTCTCCATTGACTCAGTCCGAGCACCAAACGTATTAACCTTTTGACTAAGCAGTCGATATACTCAAAAGCGACCTGGTTGAAAGCCAAAAGATTCGCGCATGCGCGAGCGAGGTAGGGTAGTGTGAATGTACATGAATGACATTTGATATCTTGGATTGCTTCTAGTTTGGCTTTTAAAGATAATGTGTGTGGCCTCTTATATTTGGATGTTTCGCTGCCATGTTATTTTCAATAAGATTAACATGGCTGAAATTCTTCATATTACAAGACGGTACAGGCTTATTGCACAAAAAACTAAAAAATCTGAAATATACAAATGTCATTCATGTACATTATGAATATACTTTTCCATATTTTATTGCACAATGGTCTCCCAATTTCTTATTTTTGCCGTTCTACTGACGAAATGAAGCAGTGAAATAAATGGACTCTAGTGTTAGAATCGGAGGAATATTCAGGCTCTGATATGTCGGATGTTTCGACACTGTACCGTAAATCAAATGTGCCAATTTCACTACTATCTATTTCATATTTATTTACTCCACCTATAAGTTCCCCAAGAAAGTTCTCAAGATCTTCATCCGTGTCGATATCTGTCAATTCCTTGAAGGTATCCTGAGTCAAGGTATCCATCCTTTCGTATTCCTTGCTTCTTCTCGAATGTTCAACTAACTGTACTGAACATAGCGTTGACACCACGTACATATATGCAATACATACAAATCCAATACTAATCACCATTGCCCATTCAAATGATCACGGGTCAGTGCACTCACTACGCTTTCTATAGTTCATTGAAAATTGGCTGGAGCGTGTAGGTTACTAAAGATTACCGTTTAGCTTGCATAGGTGACAGTGTATTGGTTTTAAGTTAGAGAAAACATTCGTGAGAGTTAATTCTTTTTCAAAGAATCAACTCTCACTCATGCTTTCTCTATAACATAATAACATTGCTACCCATCCTTCCAAAAGTAACTCCTTTCGAAATACAGCGAGGTCGGATCAAGTCGCATTTTGGCATTAAATAACCTATACGACACATGATAATATATAAAACAATTGTCAATAGGATATAATAGAAGTTGTGAAAGTGGATGGTTCTGTTGCTCACGTGCGTATGGTTAATGCAATAGCAGGGACTTGCAGAAACTAAGTTTGTTGAAATAATAGGTAAGGGATACGGGTATCTTACCTTGGGTTTCCGACTGTATGTTGGGAAAGTAAAAGTCAAACATTGTACATAGAAATGTTGAGGTTACATGTAATGATATGGCTAAGGCATTTAAGGTGACTGTTAACTTAATCGATTTCCAGAAAAAATTGAAAATTTCACAATCTTGAAATTTTCAAACTCTTCTTGAGAAGTCGTTTTTATTATTTCACATATGCTTGTGCACTGTAATCATTACAAAGACATCAAAGAACAACAAAAAACTTTAGTTTGAGAAAAAAAGTGCCGTTTAAAGAATTTGAGAAGTTTTTTTTCTAGGAGTAGCCCGTGAAAAACCGCTAATTCAAAATATCTGAACATTTCAGAAAATATACTTCAAACATATATCAAAAACGAAGGAGCAACGGAAATTTGAAAAATTACCCGATAAAAAATTGGGATCAAAATAAGGAAAAAAGTACACTTCTCAAATTGTTTTTTTCTATTTTTTTTAATTTGTATGAGAGATTTCAAAATTCTAAAGCTCCTTCCATTTTGGGCTATATTAAAGGGATGTTTCAGAGAAATTAGAAAAAAAATGTTCAGGGACCTTTGCCGTGCTACTCTTTTTGTCAATTTTTCTGTCACATTTTCAGAGGACTCAAATTCCCATTCCAAAATGTTTACTGTTTCTATTTGCATTACCACAGTGAGCCTGGTTATATAAATGATAAGTGGAACTAAAAAATTGAGAGAAAATCCAACCAAAAACAGTTAATTTTGATGGTCAGATTATACTCAAATGCCATGTGCTTCCTGGTTTCGGCCATCTTGGATTTTTTGATTAAGTTATAAGTTACCTTAATAGAGTCAAGTTGGAATCAATACTCAAAAGGAATCATTTTGTCATTGTGTATTGCGAGGCGTGTGTCCCAACTTTGTTGAACTCCATCTACAGTCTGTTTACACTGCTTCAAAGGCAAGCAGTTGAACCTAAAAAATAAGAAATCTAGAGACCATTGTGCCATATTATATAGAAAAATACTTTTTTGAGAATTAACATGGTAGAGGAGCATCAAAATATAAGAGGTTACAGACTTTATGAGCTAATTTACAAGCAACCCAAATATACAAATGTCATTCGTGTGCAATATAAATATATTTTTCTTTAAATTATTGCACAATATTATTTAGATTTCTTAAATTTTAGGTTTAACTGCTTGCCTTTGAAGCAGTGAAACAGACTGTATTTTGTTTTTTCAAACGGCACACTCATTTAGCAATTACTTATCATTAATTTTGTTTATTCAATTATAAACTTCAAAACAGTTTTATTTTTACAGTTATGAGATTTTGAAATTTGACATAATCTGCAGGTCACTTTGCAATCAGATCTTTTCTCATTCGGTAAAACGTAAAAATATCGTCGTTATTTTGGAAAATCTAACAGTTTCCTGTATGTCAAAATGGGTAATCTTACACGACTTTAATGTTTATTTCAGGAAAAATCTTTGCCAAGCGCATTTCAAATATGGATTACTACATGTAGTCCCAATATCCAAAAATGTATTTTCAAATAAATCGTTATATCTAGACATTTGACTGGACCGTAATCAACATGCTGCGCGAAAAGTTGTTTTACGTTTATAAAATGAAATTGAAAGGTCATTGAAATGCAGGTTGAAATGTTGCCAAGACGGCCAAAAACTTGTTTTCGTTCAGGAATTAGGTAATACATATAGCATCAGTCATTTCAGCCAACAGAGTGAAAAAATATATACATAATATCATATCATTTTGAGTGATATCATTTTTATCGCAGAGTTGATATCAAATGTCAACACGAGTGAGCGAAGCGAATGAGTGTTGATATTTGATATCTACGAGGCGATAAAATGATATCACGAGAAATTATGTGATATTGGGTTTATCCCATGATCACAATCACCTTGTGATGTTCTGATCCAATTTCCAGGACAGACCAATTTGCACCGGCCATTTTGATTTGTACTTTACTCACTGCGCAGTAATATGCACTACTTTCTGTACATGATATAGTTCGTCATAAATACCATTTTCAATCGTTATTTAGCAGCCTTCTAATCAAATTATATACACAATCGTAATTCAATACACCAATGAAACTTAAAGAGAATAAATTAACGGACCTATTTTCTCAAAAGAGAATAAATTATCTGACCTAATTTCCAACAATATTGTGGCGCGAAATGCAAATGAGATATAGTCAAAACAGAAATGTTTGGGAGTACTTTGAATTTAAAAAATAAGCAATCACATGACCATATTGAAACAGTTTATGTAAAAATAGAAACATTTATATTTATCCTAACTTTTATATTTTTTAGTTTGTTTTGTAATTTAGCTATCATATCTATGTCTTCTTATATTTTGATACTTCTCCGCCATGTTATTTTCGGAAAAATTAACATGGCTGAAACTCCCTAAATTACAAAAGGCCACAGCTTTGCTGCACATTAAACATTACTATCTGAAATTTACAAAAGTTACGATAAATATAAATGTTTCTATTTTTGCATAAACTGTTTCAATATGGTCATTTGATTGCTTATTTTTTAAATTCAAAGTACTCCCAAACATTTCTGTTTTGACTGTATCACACGGATATGCGTGAGATAAACGATATAACACGCATTTGAGTTTGATAAACGATTTTCTGGAAAATATCACACGGCTTTCAATAATATCAGAAATATCAATAGCTGTTATTGTACAGATAACACATTAATCGTGGGATAATAGTATATATAATACTACTATATACAGTATAAGTGTTATGTTGGTCAATACAGTATCAGTGGCACAAAATCGACATCCAGCTTTCCTATCGTGCGCATGCGTATCTCCGATCATTAAATACCAGCGGCCCTTTCATCTGGCAATATTCATCCTAATCGAGGTTCATTTTTTATATTTTCAGGTTTGCTATTTTCATAACATAGTAAACTATGATGTCATTCATAATATATGTAGCGACAATAATTGCAGTTGCAATGCATTGCGTATCGGGTAAGTGATAATTGTCAATAAGTTCTGTTTATTTATTTCTAACTTTGTCATGTTAAGGAATTATTACTTTATATTTGGTACATCTATAGAACATAAATTTATGCAAATGATAATGGTTATTAGATAATGATTGCTATGGTAAAAGAAGTGTGACTTACTCGATTCAACCCAATTTTATTCATTTCCAAACACTCCTCTGTTGCAGAAAATAGACATCAAACTTTCCAGATCTTATTGTTTTCAAACACTCTTCTGTTACAGGAAATATACATCAAACTGTCTCGATCTTATTGTTTTGAAACACTCTTTTATTACAGCAAATAGACATCAAACTGTCTCGATCTTATAGTTTTGAAACACTCTTCTGTTACAGGAAATATCAACCTCAATGTATGACCATAAATGAACTAAGTATTTGTCATCCTTAATGAATGAGCATAAATGAACTATGTTGTACTCATCCTTAACGGATGAGCATAAATGAACTCATTAGTTATTATCCTTAATAGATTAGCATAAAGGAACTAAGTATTTGTCATCATCAATTGATGAGAATAAATGAAATAAGTATTTGTCATCCTCAATGGATGAACATAAATGAAATAAGTATTTGTCATCCTCAATGGATGAACATAAATGAACTAAGTAATATATATCATCCTAAATGGATGAGTATAAATGAAATAAGTAGTTATCATTCTTAATGGATTAGTATAAAGGAACTTTGTTATCCTTATATGGATTGGTATAAGTGAATTAAGTATTTATCATCCTAAATGGATGACCATCAATGAACTAAATATTTCTCATCCTTAATGGATGAGTATATGTGAATAAAGTATTTATCATCCTTAATGTATGACCATAAATGAACTAAGTATTTGCCATCCTCAATGAACTAAGAATGAACTATAAACGAACTAAGTAGTTATCATCCTCAATGGATGACCATAAATGAACTAAGTATTTGTCATCCTTAATGGATTAGCATTTATGTACTAAGTAGTTATCATTCTCAATCGATCATCATTAATTAACTAGTAAGTAGTTATCATCCTCAATGGATGAGCACAAATGAACTTCGTGGTTATCATCTGTAATGGCTGAATATAAATTAACTGTTTATTTATCATCTGCAATGACTGATCATAAATGAAGTAAGTGGTTATCATCCTAAATGGATGATAATAAATAAACTTAATATCTGTCATCCTTAATAGATGAACATCAATTAAGTCTTTGTCATCCTTAATTGATAAGCATGCATGTATATGAAACAAATATTTGTCATCCGTAATGGATTAGTATTAGTGAACTAAATATCTGTCATCCTCAATGGATGAACATAAACGAATTAAGTATTTGTCATCCTTAATTGACAAGCATACATGTATATGAACCAAATATTTGTCATCAGTAATAGATGAGTATTAATGAACTGAATATCTACCATCCTCAATGGATGAACATAAACGAACTAAGTATTTGTCATCCTTAATTGATAACCATATATGTATATAAACCAAATATTTGACATCCGTAATGGATAAGCATTAATGAACTAAATATCTGCCATCCTCAATGGATGAACATAAACGAACTAAGAATTTGTCATCCTTAATCGACAAGCATACATGTATGTTAACCAAATATTTGTCATCAGTAATGGATCAGTATAAATGAAAATTAACTAAATATCTGTCATCCTCAATGGATGAACATATAAACGAACTAAGTATTTTTCATCCTTACGTAATTTGATAACCATATATGTATATGAACCAAATATTTGACATCCGTAATGGATGAGCATTAATGAACTAAATATATGTCAAACACAATGGATGAACATAAAATAACTAAGTATTTGTCATCCTTAATTGATAAGCATACATGTATATGAACCAAATATATGTCATCCGTAATTGATGAGTATTAATGAACTAAATATATTTCACCCTTAATGGATGAACATAAACGAACTAATTATTTGTTATCTTTGATTGATTAGCATACATGTTAGATAACAAAATATTTGTCAGACATCCATAATTGATGAGTATTAATGAACTAAATATATGTCACCCTCAATGGATGGACATAAAGGAACTAAGTATTTGTCATCCTTAATTGATAAGCATACATGTATATGAACCATATATATATCATCCGTAATTGATGAGTATTAATGAACTAAATATCTGCCATCCTCAATGGATGAACATATAAACGAACTAAGTATTTTTCATCCTTAATTTGATAACCATATATGTATATGAACCAAATATTTGTCATCCGTAATGGATGAGCATTAATGAACTAAATATATGTCAAACTCAATGGATGAACATAAAATAACTAAGTATTTGTCATCCTTAATTGATAAGCATACATGTATATGAACCAAATATATGTCATCCGTAATTGATGAGTATTAATGACCTAAATATATTTTACCCTTAATGGATGAACATAAACGAACTAATTATTTGTCATCCTTAATTGATTAGCATACATGTTAGATAACCAAATATTTGTCAGACATCCATAATTGATGAGTATTAATGAACTAAATATATGTCAAACTCAATGGATGAACATAAAATAACTAAGTATTTGTCATCCTTAATTGATAAGCATACATGTATATGAACCAAATATTTGTCATCCTTAATGAATGAGTATTAATGAACTCCATATCTGTCATCTTCAATGGATGAACATAAACGAACTAAGTATTTGTCATCCTTAATTGATAAGCATACATGTATATGAACCATATATATATCATCCGTAATTGATGAGTATTAATGAACTAAATATCTACCATCCTCAATGGATGAACATAAACGAACTAAGTATTTGTCATCCTTAATTGATAACCATATATGTATATGAACCAAATATTTGTCATCCGTAATGGATGAGCATTAATGAACTAAATATATGTCAAACTCAATGGATGAACATAAAATAACTAAGTATTTGTCATCCTTAATTGATAAGCATACATGTATATGAACCAAATATATGTCATCCGTAATTGATGAGTATTAATGACCTAAATATATTTCACCCTTAATGGATGAACATAAACGAACTAATTATTTGTCATCCTTAATTGATTAGCATACATGTTAGATAACCAAATATTTGTCAGACATCCATAATTGATGAGTATTAATGAACTAAATATATGACACCCTCAATGGATGGACATAAAGGAACTAAGTATTTGTCATCCTTAATCGACAAGCATGCATCTATATGACCCGAATATGTGTCATCCGTAATTGATGAGTATTAATGAACTAAATATATTTCACCCTCAATGGATGGACATAAAGGAACTAAGTATTTGTCATCCTTAATCGATAAGCATACATGTATATGAACCAAATATTTGTCATCAGTAATGGATGAGTTTTTATGAACTTAATGTCTGTCATCCTCAATGGATGAACATAAATGAACCAATTATTTGTCATCCGTAATGCATTAGAATTAATGAAGTAAATATCTGTCATCATTAAGGGATGACCATAAATGAACTGAGTATTTGTCATCCGTAATGCATGCGAATTAATGAAGTAAATATTTGTCATCATTAAGCTTAATGGATGAACATAAATGGATTGAGTATTTGTAATCATTAATGGATGAGCTTAAGTGAACTACTACCCAGAACCTTTTTGGCGTGCTTACGATCACCTGATTTGGAGACTCGAACCTTGTGAGATCCAAACGTGACCGAAGAAATGAGCCAAACTCTGGAAAATGTGAAGATAATTTTTTAGTACTAACTTTTGAACTAAATATCTGTCATCCTCAATGGATGAACATAAACAAACTTAGTACTTGTCATCTTTAATTAATAAGCATGCATGTATATGAACCAAATATTTGTCATCCGTATTTGATGAGTATTAAAGAACTAAATTTTCTATCATCCTCAATGGATGAACATTAACGAACTAAGTATTTGTCATCCTTAATTGATAAGCATACATGTATATGAACCAAATATTTGTCATCAGTAATGGATAAGTATTAATGAACTTAACAGGGACAGATCTCGGAACCAACAAGGGGGGGGGGCAAATTTCAGGCCAGAGAAAAAACTTCAGCGCTTGTGCGGAAATAGTTTTTGGCCCCTAAAACCCAAAAGTGGGCCCAAATTTTGAAATTTTGAGGCCCATTTTCTTCAAAATTTGGCTTGAAATTAAAAAACTAGGCCTTACAAGGCTAAAAATTGTCAAAAAGGCCAACCTTTTGGGACCTTAATCCCCCCCCCACATCCGCCAGTGCTAAATATATGTCATCCTAAATGGTTGAACATAAATGAACTGAGTATTTGTCATCCGTAATGCATGAGAATTAATGAAGTAAATATCTGTCATCATTAAGCTTAATGGATGAACATAAATGAACTGAGTATTTGTCATCCGTAATGCATGAGAATTAATGAAGTAAATATTTGTCATCATTAAGCTTAATGGATGAACATAAATGAACTGAGTATTTGTAATCATTGGGATGAGCTTAAGTGAACTACTACTCAGAACTTAGTTGGCGTGCATTCGATCACCTGATTCGGAGTCTCGATACTTGGTAGATCCAAACGTGATCGGAAGAAATGAGCCAAAATCTGGAAAATGTGAAGATTGTTTTTTCAAGAAGTATAAATTAATGATTTACGTTATTTGTATGTATAAAAGAGGGGCAGAGAAGTTTACAAACAAGGTCCCTATGGCAGGCTGGCGATATTTTACACATGTCGGGCTCCTGGTCGTTTCATTTTTATTATTTCTATGGGGTTTGAAACTAATAATAATTTGCAATGTTTTTCACAAACTTAACGTGAACGGAAAATATTTAAGCGATGCATTTATATTGGCGATTCGTCATACGTATATATGAAGCTAAACTCCCTACTATCTATCTGAGACTGACAGTATCTATTAAGATGTATTTAGTGGCTAAAAAAAGACTTAAATGTAACACATCAAAAAGGAAATATAAAGTTCAGATTCAGAAAAATTGATTATGTTAAAAGGAAAGGGTTTATAGTAACTAACAGTTCAATGAAGGATTTTACTAATTTTTGTTTATAGGAACATGTAATACGGGAATATCCATACCTTGGAACGACGGGGTAAAATGCATATGCCCCCCTAATAAGCAAGGAGAAACTTGTACAGAAGGTATGTGTCGTTCATATGATCTGATTTCAAAATAATATAACCCAGCATATACTGAGCTGAAAACCTGTTCAGCTCAACCAAAGAGGTACACATGTCTTCAACGTAACTGTATTTTAATCACTAGCAAGTGTTTTATAAAAGCCCTTTTTCTGGTAGATTGTGTGACGATCTTGCAGAAAAATAAACACATCAAATATTATACATTCGCTATATTTAAAGGTGGAATAGCGGTAAATAGGGTATAATCCCCGAGAAAAACTTCAAAATAAATCGTTGGTGCCTCAAACCCGCCCTGGAGAATGGATATGACCTGAACTTACTTTTGTCAAAATACCGCAGCCTGAAAAAATTACTCCGACCTCGTTATCGACAAAAGAAATTTCAGTTTTGTTCGTCTGCGAGAGCAAAAGCTGAGCTAAATGGTTTTCGTTTTTCGTAAAATTGACCTGCTTTTAACCGCGCCATCTGGTGAATGAATCGTTGTCTCTGTGTCACACGATCGTTGTTTTGTGTCACATGACCTACCTTTAGACCATTCGCCACCAATCGTTAGTTTATCGAACTAAAACAAAATATTTCGATCCGAGAAGAAAATTTGCACAAAAATTATAAACTCCACTTGACAAAATCCTTGTCATTCTATCGTCTTTATGATGAGACACATCGGAACGTGGGAGTCCTAGCCATTCAACCAAGCCACAAAAAGTATGTATAATACAGCTGCAGTTGTTTGATATGTTCAATTGTGTGAATATTTTCTGCATTCCACCTTTAAGAAAACTGATGTTGATATGAACAAATCATCTGGAGACAAATATTTTTCTTTCTTTTCATTCACCTATTGTCCATGATACTGATACATTATACCTTTTATTGAAATGTCAATCTTGATTCACATTCATGTTTTTAACTTATTCTAATTAAATCGAACGTTATTAGAATGACCATGTTCGAGGGATGTTTTTACCAATATATACTCCAAGAAAACTAATCATCAGGTGCACAAGTCACTTTATGAACATAATTTCAATTTTAATTTATTTTCAGATGTCCCAGACGTAGAAGAATGTGCTTGCATGTGGCCCGAAAGCCGTAAGTATTACACTTTATATACATTCAAATGCGCTTGTGCTTGCGAATGTGCTTGCATGTGGCCCGAAAGTAGTATAAAGTATTATACTTTGCATACATTTAAATGCCTAATAAGCCAATGACAATTTCTGGCACTAGAGTGCATTCATATTGTAACAACCAATATAGATTCGAAACTAAGCATAAAATAGATTGATGAAATAATATCTAAAATGATTTTTAGTTTCAGTTTAAAAAGAACAATTATCTCCAAATTTGTTACCACTTTACAACGCAATAGGAGAAGGACATCATTCAATAGTAGATTGGTTGGTTGGAACTCATTGTGGTATATCTTCTTATGCCTTTGTATTTACTCACTTGTGGGTATGTAGTCGACCCTGTAATGATTATGTCAAATCTTTTCAGAAAATGCGTGCGCATCCAATCCTTGTTATGGGGGAAAATGCGTAAGTCTGTTCGGTGAGAAATATAAATGTTTGTGTTTGCGTGGAATAACAGGTGATCGATGCTCGGAAGGTAAGAAATTTCCCTAGTCTAAATAATATTTGAGGTTAATACATTAATAACATTACATGACTTAATAAGAGTTTTCAATAGTTACACCAAAGTTACAACCATTTCCATAACAATAACACCAATGAGTTTAAGTGTGACATCACTAGTTTATGAAGGCTAGAATAATTACTAAATGTGTTCTGAAGCACACAGCCATAATGTCTGCTACCTCCATCACAATCCAGGATTCAATGTGGCATTCTGCTTATTCATTAGGTGCCCACTGTTTCACATGCCAGAGTAAGCAATACACAAACACTACATGTGCGATATTCGACAATGCACCACATCTTAGAAACCTGCATACTCACTCCGTAGTTCTGAAGCATAAGAGATCGAGGTATTTTTAAAATTCTTGTCAATTTATTCCCTCAGAAACCTCACTACTCACTCCGTAGTTCCAATGCATAGGAAATCAAGGCATTTTAAAAATTCTTGTCAATTTATTCCCTCAGAAACCTCACTACTTACTCCGTAGTTCCGAAGCATAGGAAATCAAGGTATTTTAAAAGTTCTTGCCAATTTACTATATGTAAATTGTACTATATGTTTAATTTGTAAGTAACTGGTAGTTAGCAAACAAGGCTCGGACTAATGCCACATATGTCTCGTTTTTCGAACCAAAGAGGCACGTAGTTGCAGTTCATTCCAGACTGAGGTTTTAACTTGTATATATTCTTCATAAAATGATGATAACGTCAATTGGAGTATCTCGTAAGTCATTGATAATCCACCCATCACTTTACACCTAAAATGCAACTTTTTACCATGTTTAGAGTCAAAATTATGTTACACTAAAGTGTGATTTATCTATATCTAAAATAGGAAAATTGAATTCAACCAGACACCCTAAATGCAACTTTTTAGCACATGGCATTGGGAATAATTTGGAATGTATTATTTATGTTTGCTCCAGAGCGGATTGTACAGGAAATTGGGGGATGCAATACAGTGAAGGCACCTTATGGATAGCTTCTGGATGTCGTGCAACATTCTGCATAAGCTTTAATGAAGGTAACCGATTGCTAATTATAACTTAAAATAATGTATAAATGATCATCATGAAATTTTAATTAATCCGAATATTAAAGTCAGCGAGCACAAAAACCATGGCTTTGCTTTGGGTATGGTCCATGTGGCATGCTAGTTTGCGTTGCTAACATGAAAATCTGAAAATGCCACGCTTCCCCTTTTGATCAAATATTCAATGAATAATGGATCAATATCGTGTTTCGTAGTTTCTTTGAGAACATTTAATTTAGTAAGATTCATTAATCCAGTATGTGAGAAATTCAAAATATGTCCACTGTGAGAAGCGTATCGAACACTCACTTGCATGAACCTTGCATGTCTGATTCTAACCATATTGATTTTAGTTTCAAATTCTGTAATGTTTCCATGGATCAATCTTGACATATTATGTCGTACATTTAATTATTGTTAAACATTTATAATTAAGATTGTAACTTCTTCTACATCCTGATCATTTTTTGGAAATAAATAATGTTAATGTTGCTGTTTTCCACTTTCAAATCATTAATACTCAATGTCTCTACACGTCTAAATCGTTCCAGTAACAAGTCAACGTCATTAACCGACATATCTGAACACGTCTAAATAGTTTAATCTAAAAAAGTATTCGGTCAACTGCTTCTTATTTAAGCTCTTCTAACTTGTGGTCTTCGCACATGTTGTGAGTACTTTCCTTATGAATCGTTGTATTCATTGAATACAAGTCAAGCTAATGAGTTTCAGGCAAATATATGTATAACGCTGACATAATCGCTTATTTTCCGATATAACAAGGCTATTATAAGGTGTGATTACCGTAATCGAACACCAAATTCGAAAATTCAGAACAATTCTTTGCACATATGTCATTTGTGATCAACTATAAAACGCTTACCCCTCATATCAGCGTCCATTTATTGTAACTCGCGTTTTCTACCATTTCCTCAATTCTGAGATGACGGGTACACGCGTAGTAAACATGCTCACGTCGGGACTTTTTTGACCTAAATCGCTATTTTTGTAATTAAAAATAATGAAAGTTGAACTCCTCTTTATTTTGATACCAAATAGTGGCATATTAGGTACCCTAGAAGCTAACTTTGGCGTTATTTAGAACAAAACCTCAGGTTTTTAAATGGACTATATAGGCCCTCATACCTTTTCGCGGATGGATATGGAACCTCACACCATAACGTATGATTCGTGCAAATAACGCGTTTACGGATATCTGAAGTTAGGATGGAAAGCAATATAAATTACTTAGTTTTATATAAAGTCAATTGAAACCAATTTCATATCCAAAATCAACCAACCTTACTCTAAAAGGTTTGAAAAACACATCCGGGTCGATTTCCACTGTTTACACTTGGCCACCATGAGAAAGTATTAAAGGGAAAGGGGGGCGAGATGTTTGTAGAATGAATCGGGGGATTTTTTTCATGAATTTCGCTTATGTTTTTCATCCAAAAAACATCAATACACTTTAAAACATTTTGTTTACTTTAAGATTACACCATGTAATCCAAAAATATATTTCTCGTTTTCAAAGATAATCCATGGATTAACACCCAGGTATTTTTATTTTTCAAACTTCAGAAGGGCTGGGAATCAATGATGCTCAACGCTTTTGAATACGATAAATGCTGTTTTAAATAGGTTTTACGTATGCCAATAATTTCTCAAATTATGTAAGCTGAATGCATTCCTTAATCCCTAGAATGCCTATCATATAACATTCTTTTGTCTTGGCCACTTAATATGTTTTGTTGCTGTCTGATCATCAAATCAAATTGTTGTTATTTAAAGATGTCAGTCAAATCTGGTGAAACAGCACAAAATTAACCTAAAAAGCACAAGTACATATTATGTAACTCATCCATAATAGTTCATGCATCAGGTATTAAGGCTTAGGGGATTAACTTTTACACATAAACTGAACTGACAGATGTGTATGCTTACATGTACAACTTCAAGGATTGTAAGAATTCAAAACTTGTTGATAGCCATATTTTCCTGAATGTGACATCGAGATATTATGGCATTTATGAGTGGTAAAACATGAACAAAAAGCATTTTCATTTAAAATTAGCATATGATTTGAATTGATGCCAAGAAATGTATTAGTTAACTATTTAACTGTATCCGTTTTACATCCATTGCAGTTGGCTACCACTAAGACTAGGCATTCACATGCAAAATGTCAACACCTGCCATTTGTTACAGACACCAACTGCCAAACACCAACTGCCAAATGATAAACACCAACCACTGAACACCGTCCACAAAAAAGTTTGAGACCATAACAATATGTCACCACTTGTGGTGGTGACATAAAAATGATCATGGAAAATTGTAATTTTTTAAAAAGTAGGAACTTCCGAGGTTATTAGAAAATTGGAAGACAAGGAAGGATTCTGGCTTTAGGGTTATAAATTGCAATGAAACTAAAACAAAACATTCTTTTTCTCAAATATCACAGTGTATATTCAAATCACAAATACGATATCATACAATTACAATAATTTATGTCTTATAAATAAGTACTGCCTTTCCATCCATAATTGATGTTGATGAAGATTGTGTTTCCAGTTTGATTTATGAACAACATTCATGGTTTTATTTATTATGTTCATTATAATGTACAATGTGATTGATAATCAATTCACACATAGCTAGGTCTGAATATTAAACTCCAGCCAAATAGAGCCAGCACAATATTTCAACCTTTATAACCCTTGCAAAAAGATTTTCTTGCAATAAAAATGTGAAAATAATAATTGATAAGTATCACATTATTGTTATTATTTCATCCACTCGTGTTATTTGTCCTGGACTTTGCACACTCAAGACATCCTTAGTGCAATCATTCTACAACTCATTAAGCCATGGCATTAAATCCTTTTCATACAATATGTGATATAAGACAGTTCCAAGGGTGGTGATATAATAATAAACTGTAGGCTATAGTATAGTGTAATGAAAATAGATTTTAAGGTAGAAATGTCTCGATATTTTTCACTAATTTTCATGATTACAAATACCGATAATCAATGAAAGGGACAATATTTTCACATTTGTAATTGTATGTGTATGCATGGTCCATGGTGTATGTTACCATAATTCTTTATATCCACTTAAAATGTCAAAAATATTGCCCAATTTATAATTATCAGATAATTTATTCATCACCAAAATTAGTAAAAATTATCAACATGCAGAACTAGCTTAAAGAGTTTAATCTCTCACTTACTCACAATCATGTCAACCAAAACTGTACTTGTGTTACATAATATAGGATTATACAGCTTACCATACGTGTGCAATCTATATAGCATCCACACTGACATCTTTACAGAATCATATATAATTTTTGAATATAAACTAACTCAACCCAATAAGGCGAGTACTAAAGAATTTACTTACCTGCCATCTAAAAATCTGCTTGGAACTACCATTGGATTCCTCCAAGAGAATATTCTAATGATTATGGAATGCATTCAGCTTACATAATTTGAGAAATTATTGGCATACGTAAAACCTATTTAAAACAGCATTTATCGTATTCAAAAGCGTTGAGCATCAATGATTCCCAGCCCTCTGAAGTTTGAAAAATAAAAATACCTGGGTGTTAATCCATGGATTATCTTTGAAAAAGAGAAATATATTTTTGGATGACATGGTGTAATCTTAAAGTAAACAAAATGTTTAAAGTGCATTGATGTTTTTTGGATAAAAAACATAAGCGAAATTCATGAAAAAAACCGTTTCATTCTACAAACAACTCGCCCCCCTTTGAGAAAATAATTATAAGGGAGTTTATATATATCCAACCAATGATGTGATAACAAGATGTATCTTAACCTCTCTATTATGTGTCAAAGTGGTCAAGAAAACTCTAGTTTCAACTTGAAAATCATCTTATTTAATTTAGATGTAAACGAATGTGACTCAGCAAATGGTGGATGTGAGCATAACTGTACAAATACTAAAGGATCATACGAATGTAGCTGTAACGATCGGTTTACTTTGCACGATGATGGCCATAACTGTACAGGTGAGATCTTCTGTAAACCTTAAATCCTGTATATTACATATTTACATAGCCGTCAATTAAAAAAAAATAAAAATCGGGATATTTTCGTTTTAAAAGACGGGAGAATTCTGATTTAAAAAAATAGAAATCGCAGTGAAAATCTGGATTTTCTAAAGAAAAATCGGAAGAAAACCGGTGTTGATAAAAAATCGGGTGAAAATCTGGATTGTTTTGGATAATTAGGAGAAATCGGGATTACAATGAAAATCGGGAGGAAATCCGAGTTTACACAAATAATCTTGAGAAAATCTGGATTGATTAGAATAATCGTTAGAAAATCGGGAGTTTACACCGTTGCTCATAAATATGGAATATTAGATTTGGCAGCTCAGAATTTAAGTTTTGGAGTAAGAGAACATTTATTTAGAGTCGGTTCAGACATTTATTTTCTAGGCAAATCATAAACACATATTTCATCTACAAATCAATATTTTTTAGAGAAAAAAATATTCACCTTTTAGTTTAGAAAATTACTGTTATTTAAACAGGGGTACGCTAAGAATTTTTGCATTTTCAAAACACCCCGATCCAAACCGTCACATAAAACAGATCAAACAAGATAGTCATCTGGTCAAGAATATTGAAGTGTCCTCTATCAAATGAAAGCACTAATATGCGTTCTGTCCTCTTTGTGCTGCAATCAGAGCATCAATCCTACGTGACCAGCATTGAATAAAACATCTGACCTTCTTAGTGAAATAATGCCCCATTCTTCAATCTGGGCAGTGTGTAACGTCTCTAAAGGAGCACGTAATATATGGCAAGTCATTTTCAAAGGACTATATCTTTTAGTTCGAAGAATAATTTAACCACACAATCAAATGGTTCTGTTAGATCCATGTCTTATCTTCAATAAATGACATTAGGATGATAATCAAGTTGATTGGATTATCTCTTAAGCTGTCCCTTATCCACCCATCCTCACCAATTTTCCCTAATTCTGATGCAATTTTCACCAAAAATGCAGGCCTTTTTAATAATTTTTAGAGCAAAGTTGTATTGAACTTTCAGACATGATTTAAACTGTAAAGGGGAAAAGTTAATTATGAACCTACTTTTTGTTATTTTTTTCGTGACTTTTTCTGATATTATAAAGTGCTTCATACTAATATTATACAATTACAAAATAGAGGGCAGCTAAGTGTCATAAATACGTTGTTTGTTACACTGTTTCAAACACTCGGAGAGTGACTTACTCAGCGTTATGAATTGCCTTAATCCTGTATTTTACCTTGTATTGTTTGTGTATAAAACAGTTGTGTCATTCACGTAGAGCTATTTATATACTGAATAGTTCTATGTAATTACATGTGCCTGGTTTGGGCTATTCAACCTAGATTCTTTAATTGAGCAGGCTGAAATGAATATGAGTGAAAATAAAATGAATTACAGGGTGAGGTAAAAATGTCATCCAAAGAAACGTTATTAACTCATTCATCAAGTATGAGTTGAAATCATATTTAGTTAATTTTACCATGCAAAATCTTTTCGCATTTTACCATGTTTCATGGTTCCATTCCTCAAGGTCACAATTCTATGGCCATTCTACAAATTTCAGCCTCGTCCCTTCAGACAGACCTGCACTGGTCGGTTGAGGTAGAAGTTCACCGTCACAGGAATTGTTCTCCTACTTGTTGTAGGGGTTGACATTATCTCAGAGATAGCACGTAGTCATGAGATGAGGCTGGCATTTTGGACCATGTTTCGTTTTATAGCTATAAAATCCCGACTATTTAGGCAGGGCCAATTATACTTAGTAAAATGAAAGAACATTTATGTTTTACTGTACATACTTTACACGACACAGTCATGTTGTCATATCCATGCTCATTTCTATAATACGCAATTATGCAACAATGAATACACAGGGTATTAAGCACTCATGTAGAATATATCATGCCATCTATGGAACATATATAACTCTATCTATAAACATCATTGCATAAAATAGGGTACATCTAAATGTCGCTCTAAGTGACATCTTTTCATACACTTCACACTAAAATCATGGCCTATGAGGTAAAAATCTCATTTAGATCATTTTTTTCTTTTTGGAAATCAATCATGTGACATAGCTCAATGTTTTTGTGCGTTAATCTCATTAAAAAATTGCTACTTTTTGGTAAAAAATTCGGCCTAAAAAAAGTTATTGTTTTTGAATTATCCTAATCCCAAAGTAATCACGTTTTCCTAATAGGTAGATCATTCCTCACAATAAATTGTAATTTTACCATAAAAGCTGAAATAAAATGCTGCATTTTTGGTGAAAATTGCGTCAGAATTAGGGAAAATTGGTGAAGATGGTTGGATTAGGAACAGCTTAAGAGATAATCCATTCAACTTGATTATCATCCTACTGTCATTTATTGAAGACGAGACATGGATCTAACAGAACCATTTGTTTTTGTGGATAAAGCATTCTTAGATATAGCCCTTTGAAGATGGCTTGCCATATCTTACGTGCCCCTTTTGAGGTGGGGGTCCAAGTCACGAATCTCTTTACCAAGGTCGTCCCACATTTGTTCTGCATTAGCCTGATTGGCTGAATTTTGTGCCCATGGTAGCTGGTCCAAGTTGCCTACCCTGAGGTAACACGATACCACTAGCATATGCAATAGCATGATCATTCTGCAGTTAAATGTTGCCCCAAAACACTCTGTTTGCATGTGGTACTTGAAGGAAGTCCAAAAGGTCAAAATACTCTGAAATTATGTTTGGGAATCACCAAGGGGGTGCAACCTCTGAAGTACTATTCCAATCAAACCTCTGTAATACTGCTCCAAACACATATAGGGCCGTCTTCATTGACTGCCACATGAGTAAATGTCCTTATTGACTCTTTCCCCTGGTCTACTACAGAAACAAACACAATTATCAACTTTGTGAAGGACACATCTTTTTTCTTCACATGCTGTCATATGACACCAAAGATTAGGTCCAACGTTTTGATGCTTTCCTGCCCATTGAAGAAACCTTTCTTTATTACGATTAGTCAGCTGTGGTCTCCTTAAAGGTCTCATCGTCTCGCATCCGTTATAAAGAAAGCACTGGTTGTCTAAAGCTCTGGAACACAGGTTTTGAGGTGTGCAGCCATTGATCTCATAGACTACTGGTTGACTTAAAGCGATTTTGATGACATAGATGCACCAGGTGGTGGTATTTTCTTGCATTTTTCCCTCTAGGGCTACTTTTGATGTGACCTGGAGTCACATTCCTGTGTTTTTGGTACCACTGCAACATTTTAGAGACTGTTACTGGCACACCCCTAGGGTCCTGGCACTGGCAGTGTGTTTCATGCCAGAGAGCACCATCCCTATGACCTGCCATGCTTTTTTTGCTTATTCTATGGGGCATGTCTTCTTAAAACTCTTCCAACTCTACATTAGATTTTTATGAAATGTGCACAATGATTACAACTAAGATTTGGACACCTCTTTCGAGTTACCAATATCACGAGGTCATAGGGTCACCTGAGTGAATACAAGTTTAATCAACCATAAATGTTTAAATTTTTCATATCAATCAGTTTTATATGCAAAACTGATGAGGGAATGATAAAGTATTACGAATTTTCATGAAAATGTTATCATTTTGTAGATATTCCATCAAACAGTTCATATCTATAAAATATTCAATATTTATGAGCAACAGTGTACAATAAATATTTGGGAGGAAATCGGAATTTACATAGGTAAATTGATAAATACGTTTTCGAATTGCATTTGGGCCGTTTACTATCTTTGGTCATTAATATATCCATGAGATATCATCTGCATTTAACCAAGTAACACATCATACTTAATCAATGTGAACAAACGCTCAAAACTGACGTTATGATCAAATAATTGATTCCGACCTTTCATATTTTTATACATATTATTATTATGTATATTATATATTTACCCTGAGAGCTGTGATCTATTAATCCTGAAGAAATATGGGGTATTTTGCGGACCAATCGTTTATTTCGGATTATAATGTCATTTTAACTTTTCAGCATGAATATAGGGTTGGGACGCCTTTATATCTCGGGACACTTATAATTATATTGACTTGAAATTTTCAGGGAGTATTTTTGGTATGATGTTTGATCCGCATGACAAAAATTAAGAAAAATATATATCCGTTCCTATAGCAACAGTAATAGAACACTATTTCTTACCTTAGAAGTGCATTATTTTGTGTGGTTTCATAATTGTCTTCATAGTCTTGATTCTTAAACTATCTAAAGCACATAGCACGATCAGAAGTGAAGATAAAATAATTCATCATATAATTTGTGTAATATGTCTAACATTTCAGTTGCTATGGCAACATCACTTGATAATCAGGTTCTTACATTTCACTTTCTTTAATGAGTATAAAGGCGGTCCAAACTAAATATTATGTACCTTAAAGATGAAACCATATTTCTTCTGAAGTAAATAGTCACATAAATCTGTTAAAAAATTCTAGAACTTTATCTTACTCCCTCACCACAGCCCCCAAAGTTGGACAATTCCGGAAAACTGTCAAAAACATTCAATTTCTAGTTTCAAATTAAAGTAACTTTCTATGATTTCATCTAAAAATTAAAACCCTTGGAAATACTAAATATGGTTTAAGTGCCATATATAAAAATTTATTTTAGAAATATTGTGGATCAAAATAAAAATAAAATAAATAAATAAATTCTATGTAAGTTCATCTCTCTGGTTAATATATCAGAAACAAGTCAAATTCGTTTTTTCGTATCTATGTTTTTTTTGTTGTTGTTATTTTTTAGGTTACTAGGTCATTTGTTACATAATTACATTTTCCATTGTCTGTTTATGACGTCACATAAATGTATACATGCTGTTATATTTTGAAAAAGACTAAGGGATATTAGTCGAAAGTCTCAATAAATTAAAAATATTCTCTGAAGTAAAGAATTTGACTTGTTTCTGATAAATAAATAAAGAATAATACATATTCCACCTGAGGGATTTGAACCCAGATCTTTTGGAATAAAAGTCTGTTTGAGCCCATCTAACCACTCTACACCAAACTGCCAAAGCTTACTGTAGGAAGAAATTCTTTATCTATATAATCATGGACGAAAAAAGTCTTATTTACATGCTTAAATTTCTTAAAAATGATCAGCATTACTACTAATAATAACATTTTGCATGTCTGAGTAAGTATTTTGATCTACATTTAGGATAAATGTTGTTTTATTAAGTTTTCATTTTGGGTATGACTTCCTGTCAAAACAGTGTTAAAAATGCAGGGCTCAACAAAAATTTTCAATTAGAAAATGATATACATCCTTTGATCAGCTGTTTTTGGCACCTGAACTCATCCTACTAGAAAGGTAAGAGCATTTTCTTGAGACATATGGCTCGAAATCTCACATTTCTCCTTCTAAGTCTTAGAAAGACACTTTAATAATGTATTGGGATTTAACATTAATTAGTATCCAAAAACACCTACTGACTTTGCTTGATATAACAATATGAAGATTTTAGTTATTTGACACTCAAAAGTATGTTATAATTTAGAACACTAGCCCATAAACTGCTAAAATATGGTTATGGTCAATTTTATCACTTTGCTTTGCAGCACAGTAGAAGCATTTATCATTAGACAAAAGATCAATGCGTTCAATACATATTCACTGTAATTCATTCATTACTATAATCTAGTAGACTGCACATTTTTTTATATTTAAGTTTTATATCTAGTACATGTATCATAATGAAATCTAGTGTTATCATACAGTAGGATATCAGACATAATGTCTAATTATAACAACCATTAATTTTTCTCATCTGAGCAATTAGACTATGTTGGTTATCATGAATGAGTAAGTTCTATATATTCTATATGAGTAAGTGGTTTCTGGAGTTAGTGGCGAGTTGACGATCCGACCACGAATGTTGAGAAGCAACTGTTCACACATCACACTTGTAGCTGTGAGCGATGGCAAACTTGGTCAGATTTATATTGCTGCTTGGTTGACCAATGGGAAGCCATCTTTGGTTGTTTTCAATAATCAACATTTTAGCAACTTTTCAAACACATGGCTATGTATTGTAAATGATTCTGTTAAAGGGTTGTAAAGCATTCCAATGTCTGGATTGTATTCCAACCTTGCTAGTCTCTACTGTATGGTTGCATTGGATTTCATTCTGATACTAAATACAAGGTTAACGTCATGGGCATTTAACTAGTGTCCTACGTATATACTGTCTTTACATTTGGAGATGTTTAAATGCATCGGTTAGTAAATATTTCTAGCTTTATATGCTGCAAGATAGTAAAATTGACCACGCCCTCTTATCAACATTTTTATGGGATAGGATTCCAAAATGTTTCAAGTAAAATAGTTCCAATCGTCTAACAGTTAAAATCTTCATATTGTTATATCAGACAAAGTCAGTAGATGTTCCTTCAATACTGCATCCCAATTTGAACCTAGAAAATCAAGATGTTTTGCCAGTTTTCACCAATCATCTTTGGGGGCTGTGAGGAGGGGTTCTGCAACTGCAAATTATACATTTTTAACAAATCCACTTGACTATTTACCTCTAAAGGAGCCCTTCTTTACCTAGAGAGCATAACTTTAGAAACAGTGTTATTTTGGACCAACTTTGTACTCGTTAAAGAAAGTGAAATGTAAGAACCTGATTATGAAGTGATGATGCCAAAGCAACTGAAATGTTAGACATATGAAATAAATGATGTGATTGAATATTTTATCATCAATTCGAATAACGTATGTGCCCACAAAATGATAGATTTCTAAAATAACAAATAGTGTTCTATTACTGTTGCTACAGTAACGGATAAGGATTTTTTTCTTGACTTTCACCATACGAATTGAGCATCATGCTTAAACTATTTCCTGAATACTTCAAGTCTATATTATTACTAGTGTCTGGGATATAAAGGTGTCTGATGGTACCCCATTATTTTATATTAGGGGGGGGGGGGTACTAGTATGAGAAAATGTATGTAGATAGTTGCCCAAGGTTGCCGCTCGGCCATTCAGTGGTTTTGAGGTCCCAACCCTATATTCATGCTGAAATGTTAAAAAAAACATTGTTATCCGAAGAAAAATCTTACCCTTGAACTTTCTTCCAGAATATATGCTTGATGGTTTAGAGAAAATGCAAACAAAGATACATGTTGAACAAACTATGTAATTCTAGATGTGCAGGTAATGTATTATGTAAACCTAAACTGCTGTATATTATATATTTACCATGCGAGCGATAGCTATGCTTGCTGGATGGTTTAGAGAAAATGCAAACAAAGATACCTGTTAATAAATGAATTTAATTCTATGATGTAGATGTTAACGAATGTGATATAGCAAATGGTGGATGTGAGCACAACTGTACAAATACTAACGGATCATACGAATGTAGCTGTAACACTGGATTTGCTTTGCACGATGATGGCCATAACTGTACAGGTGATCAATTCTGTAAATCTAAACTCCTGTATATTATATATTTACCGTGAGAGCGATTAACTATGCTTGATAGATGGTTTAAAGAAAATGCAAACAAAGATACCAGTTTAATAAATGAATGTAATTCTATGACGTAGACGTGAACGAATGTGATACAGCGAATGGTGGATGTGCGGATATCTGCTCAAATAATGAGGGATCATACGAATGTAGCTGTAACGCTGGATTTGCTTTGAACGATGATGGCCATAACTGTACAGGTGATCTATACTGTAAACTTAAACTCCTGTATATTATATATTTATCATGAGAGCAATTAACTATGCTTGATGGATGGTTTAGAGAAAATGCAAACAAAGATACCAGTTTAATAAATGAATGTAATTATATGATGTAGATGTGAACGAATGTGATACAGCGAATGGTGGATGTACGCAAATCTGCTCAAATAATGTCGGATCATTCGTTTGCAGCTGTCTCGATGGGTTCTCTTTGCAGGACGGCAATGCATGTACGTCAACCTTTTCTTTTATCACCCGTTTTTAATTTTTTTTTATTTGTCAATACATACTAAACTCAACGATGGAAAGTACACGATGGTTTGCTAAAATGTAAACGATAAAACAACTAAACATATATTGTGAGGCGGCTTAGGTCAAATAACCCCAATAATTCTGCGCTTTCGGTAAAAAGCAAAAATGTATTTTATTGCGTTTGAGTCACGTAGTACGAATTAGCAAGAAAATGATTTCTATTTGGTCGTTTAACGTTATGAAAATAGAGCGGTAATTGTAAATTGAGTATTACTGAGTGAATAGTGCATGTATTAGTGAATAAGATCACTTCGGCTCTAAGCGGCAAGATAAACTAAGTAAATGTCTTTATAATTATTTTTTTAGAAAAAATTTCGGACAAACCTTTTTCCTTTAACCTCAATTGTTGAGGATTTCAAAAATGTTTAACATCATTTTCTCAACAAATAACAATGGGAATTGAGTTGTTTGTGATGTTAAAGATAGAAAAGGTTTTACGGGTGGTCGGAAAGTTTTTCAATTTGGAAAAGATATATTTTATTTCTACACTATTGAGTAAGTTAACCACTTGTTCATTATAAACATTGTATTTTTGTCAGCGGCGACGCAGCCGCAGAGCCACATTTTGGCAACCAGCTTGTATATAAGGTTTTTCTGAAGCACGCAGCCACAAAGCCACATGCTAGTTAGATGTTATATTTAATAAGTGTCAGTTAGAATAGAATTATAATTTATTTTACATTGTTGGAAAACAGAAAAAGTACCTGATATATCTCCGATCACTCCATGTGGTCATGAAAATCCAAGATGGCCGCCACAAGCACCTCATTATTATAGCAATTAACACATTGTCTTAACTTTTAATATTTTGCACACATGATTTTCAGGTCATTTGTTCTTGCTAATTTGACCCCAAATTAGGGAGATAATTGCGTTTGATATTTTAGCATTCATTTCAATAAAATGGTAGTGACTGTCCAAAGCATAGGATTTTGCAGGTACAACCACTGGATTGCGCTAACACAATCCTTCTTCATTCTTCCCGGTGTTTAAACTCATATGTTATACTTCCTCCAGTTAGGGTTGACCAATATTTTTGGCTTTCCAGTGTTCATGGACCAACGTGTTATTCTTTATTGTTCAGTTCATCGGAACAAATTAGTAACTTTCCCGTGTATATGAATAATGTTTTGTTCATTCTTTAGCGTGTCTAAACCAATTTGTAGCTTTTTTTTCATTCTGCAAGAGTCAATCCGTTTAACTTTTTCCTGCGTGTATGGACATTTTTTTTCATTCACCACTATATGTCAATTCATATATTCACCAATCCAGTCTTTTCAGTTGTGACGTTCTCCCCTGCGTATTAACCAATACGTTTATGCCCTAATGTATCAGAACTCACCCCGGGTGATCGATATCCTAAGTTTAGAATTTAATTCGAGCAAGTGAGTGTCGCGGATTGTGTTTTTGCTCAATCCCAATAATAGGTGCTAGTTTCCTAGCAGATGAGCGCGCAGTTGTAGTAAAAAATTCTAAATGCAGAAATTAAGTATACGGTAAGAATGGATATAGAGTGGCGCATTCGGTGCTGGAATATGATTGCAACATGTTCATAAAAGATCGCTAATGTGTGTTGGTTTTTAATGCAAATCGAAGTATATAACCAGCGTGACCTCATTCTCAACGATCGGTCAGAAGTTCTCCTCGACTGTTTTAACCTTGCTTTAATAATGAAAGATACCTTAACCATGGTATAACTGTATAATATGTTACGCGGTAAACATGATACAAATAGATGCCATATCCCCCAAGTGAATCTGACAGATTCACTTGCGGTATGTATCACATTTTCATCCAAAATGTATGGCATACTCATTGACCAATGAGAATGTGCGACGGAAGTACTGAAAAGCTAAATGGCCAATCTTAGAGTAAAACGAAATGGTATACAGTGCTGATACAATTTAATTGATGAGTCGTATAAGTCGCATATTTTCTTGAATTCTAACATTTAATGTCCCAAACTCCCCCAAACTGCAGAAAAATAAACACCGTAAATCATATTTACCAAAATGAGTGTTTCCAAGGCTTTATACCAGCTTATGCATAATACATTTGTCACGAGTTTGAGCTGAAATTTCGCTAAATGAAGTAAGGGCCCGGTTAATCTCCGCCAGGTTTGCTTATTGTGGTTAGCTAAGTGCTCAGAAGCAAAAAAGTTACAGTTGCTGCATGGTTGTCATAGATCAAAATTGACTGAAGCATAACACATCTATATATAAATGACATATTGTTGTTTTGAACATAACATAGCAGAAATACCAAAATAGTAGTATATACAGAATCACAATGTGACATCGCACTATATGATGAATATATGATGAAAATATCTCCAAGAGATCTCCAGGAACAGAGTCCTATGTCCATATGGTATCCAAAATCTCACATAATCTCCTGGTATTGGAGTTATGACAGAGACTACAACAATAAATGGTGATTATTTTGAATTCAGAAGCTATCGTTAGCCTACTTAAGCAGAGTTCCTATGCCCCTAATTAAAGCACCAGCATATGATATTTGAACCCAAAAAATGATATAAAGGATTATCGCATTCTACGACCCCAAATACACCCTATGTGGACTGCTATACGGAGACAAGCGGATTAGATATCATGTGCGCAAGGTGCGGATATAAACATTTTTTGAATTTGTGATATTTCATAAACTAAGGCATGTTGGGTACTCAATTATAGTCATCCATTTGTGGAGGGTACCTAATAAAAGGGACATTTTGTCTATAGTTGTTTTCTTCATTTTTAACGACGCACTAAGCATTCATCCTTGCTCAAAAGCAAAGCATTTTTAAATTGCTGCTTTGTAACACAGTTTGCAGCCTTCATTAAGTTTTGGTGGTCGAGATAACCAATCAATGTAAATTATTTGTGCATTTTGAAAGTCAAAACTCTGTGTGTGAATTTTAAAAAATTGAAAACATTTATTAGATATCACGCCCGGTGATCGTGAAAATGGGACGGAGGAGGGGGAGCAGGCAATTTCTGCAAGAAAATTCAACAAATCTGAGAGATTTATTTTTTCAAGAAAAAGTTTACTATTGAATTGCTGAATTGATAGGCGTACGGTATGGTAAAATATGTTAGGTCTTCTGGGATTTTTTCTGAAATGATAGGCATCTAAGATATGAGATCTATTAAAAAAGGCGCAACGCACCAACGTGCAAAAGTCAATGTTGTTGCTATAAATGAAGCAACAATGGTGTACATGACCTGTAATAAATACTTGTAAGTGATATTATCGTCACAAAATTAATGTTATTGCTGACTTTGTAAAATAAGTTTCCATAGGTGAAATAAAAAATAATCGAAAATAATTTTGGGACGGAGGGGGGGGGGAGCAATATGTATCATGCCTTAAAATAAAGTTTACTATAAAGGAAGTTTATCTAGGCTCGACAAAAATCGTCAATACTCTCTAAATCATCATTTTATCGAAGAAATGTAGGAAAACATGTTTTTTGCTTTGAAATCAATGGCGCCTCAAATGTTCAAATGATGATAACGTCATACCTATTTTCAGAAGCTTCTTATGAAAAAAATAATCCGTTGACCTACCCTTTTTATTACATTTATTGAATCGCTTCACCTAGGTTTATAATAAAAACCTAGTTTCGTTGAGATTGAAAATGGTCTATTTTCGGTATATTTTTGGTATATCCTTAAACATATAATTAACTTTACAAGCGTAACTATAGGTAGCTTCGATTTTAGTATTTTCAAGTTCTGTAGTCTCAAGAGTCAGACGATTATCATAGTTTATTTGGTCTGTTTTTCGAATTGGGAAAACAAAGGCAAGGTTTATGTTTTATGAACATTCCAATTTGATAGCAAACTTTATTTTTGAGTGTATTAAATCAGTTAAAGCTTATTTCGTCGGGACCCGTACGTTCGCCCAATTAAAGGTAAATGTGCCGTCAATTAAAGAAACATGCACATTGGTACACCTTTTTGCAAAACATAATTCTGATAATACAAATTCATCAATCGTTATGAAATTTGCACCATCATTTAAAGGAATCTCGAATTTCATATTGACAAAATATCGGATAAATATGACAAGAAATAAAAATTTGATACATTTTTCCAAAAGAGTTGTAAAACAAAAATAAACTAAAAAAAATGTTTTCACGTCAAAAAATAAATAGTTCAACTGTCTTGATTATACATGACGTTTTGAAAGAGTAGAGAGCTGGATTCAAAGCAGCGTTCTTGCGAGTTTCAAATGAAAATATTAAAAACTGCGCAAGTATGAGGACCGCAACTTTTAGTTTAGTAGGCGCGCAGCTTGACATGGGCACCGTGATTATGGATATGCATAAAATGAATGTGGATATGACTCAACCCGTACGGCAGTTTCAATTTGTGCGTCTAATGTTGACGGACGGACGAACCAACGGATGGACGTACGGACGGAGGCGTTCCCTTTATCCCTCCGAACTTCGTTCGATGGGATAATAAGGGGCAATATAGTGAAAGTAAAGTTGAACAGATTATCTCTTAAGCTTTCATTAATCCACCTATCATCACAAAGGATGATTCTCGGTTTGGAGAACGAAGTTCATCACTCAATTTGAGCGTTATCCCTGCTTCGGACAGATTTGATTTTTTTTACATAATATAGATTTGAATGTCTTCTTTTGAATAGTCATAAATTAATTTGGGTAATATTTCTAGATTTTCTATAAAAAAAATTACTAGTGAACCACCCAACGTCGCTTTTATGATTCGTACCACTTTTTTAACTTGATGTATTGCATATTTCCGTGGGTCGATTTGAGAAAAATACAAACAACGTTTACATGAATATCTCATAAGCATATCTTGAGATAATTGTTAGATTAGGTTTGCTATAAGTGACTTTAAAACCAAAAAATAAAAAACATTAGTTCACGTGTTAAAGTCCC